TATTTGATTTAGAACCATATTTTTTCATATTTTATTTGCTTTAGATTTAATTTGCATATTTTAATTATTTCTTTAGAATTTTAGGAAAGTCGTATTTTTCGAAATCTAGGAACGATCTTTTCCTTTTTATTTTCCATAGATTTTAGGTTTGTTTTTATTTAGCAAAATATCATGTAAAGGCCTTTGGTCTTCGCCTATAAATTGGCGTCTATTGTTGCATGTACACAACTTATGTGAATACAAGTCCAAGTATACATTATATTCGTCAGTTGTAGTATAAACAAGGTCGAATCCACGGGACTTAGAGTGATATTTTAAACTATACTCGAGAACCAATGGTGCAAGAAATTAATAAAATAATATCGTAGGTACAAAAACAGTAATGGAAGTAGAATTAACAAAAGCAGTAAACGACTCCAACAACAACATAAACTTCTAAATGCTGGGAACAAGAAAAGGCTTTAGCAGAGAACAGTGGAAACAAAAGGTGTAAATAGATATGGGAATAGGTGAGGAAGATTTATTATGCTGTCATTAAATCCTAACCTCTACTCTAGCATGAAATCACTCACTATTGTTGCTCAACTCAATATGGTTCCCTTCCGAGACACCCAAACATGGATACTCATATCTCCAATTGCTAGATACCTAAGCAATAAACACAAGTTTTAAGCATGATTAGGTGACTCTATTCCCATGAAACTGCTAAAGAAAAGCAACTCATCACAAATAGAGCAAGTCAACTAACCATAAGCACTTCTGGATCATACAGAAGCTTGCATACTCAACAAGGCAGCCAACAGTGTTCAGTAAGATTGAAGAAAAATACGCATAACTCTATTAAATAGCAAGAAGAAAACAGCTAGAGTGTTGGTTGTTCAGTAGATACAACACATAAATCTCCCCTGAAATGGGGTTTAGCTCATAAGGGAAAGAGAAAACACAATAAGTAAGGAGACAACCCATCCTAGAAAAAGAGGTAAAAAAAACGCAGATGGAGACACGAGCACGAAATGATAGCTGCTGTTCCTCTCTATTGTCAGCTTCGTTTAGAAAATGGAGAGATTCATTTTCCTTGTCTTTTTCCAGCCAGACGAATGTTCTTTATTGGGATCTATGTGTGTCGGGTAGGTCATCTTATCCCTTTTATATTGGGTCCCAATTTTAGGGCACCCAGCTAGTAACTGTACAGGCATGGTAAAATATCCCCATGTAGGATAGTTATTGTGTTGTAAATTCATGCTCCAACAATTGTTTGCTCCATCTTCTTTAGGCTCTGTCATCATCATGCTTCATCAACTCCTTTCTAGGCTTGGCACTTTTCTCATGCCTTTGTATTTGGTTTCCAGGCCTGCGCAAAAGAGCCAATAATAAGAGAATTCAGTACTATCTTAGACCAAAGCATTCAAAACATGGGACTTCAGCTCAAATTTCATTTTCTATATTATTAAGAATTTTCTTGAGCTAAAATAGACACACACTAACAATAAATTACACAGAACTGCCCCAATAATTACTATAATAAGCATATTTTGCGGAGTTATCACACCCCCAAACTTAAATCCTTGCTTGTCATCAAGCAAGACTACACTTTACACCCCACAAAAAAGTACTGAAAATTCAATGCACCACATCTTGCACTTAGTTCAACTTACTCGGTTCACCCACAACGCACACACATTTGGGAGCTCATTCATTCTACTTCCACCTTGGACAACAAAAGAGAGTAGCTAATATCTTGCTCCAACTCTAGAGAAGGCTATTTTTCTAGGCTCTAGTATCCTCCTACTTTTACTTTCACAAACCTGACCCACCTAGAGACTCACTTCTCAAACTCCCTTTCACTTGCCTTGAACGACTAGCTCTTTTATTACTAGATACGGCTGTCAACTATGGGCTACTAGCCATTCCTAATCCTGTAGCCTCTAATGATAATTGAGTTTTTTTCTATTGGGCTGAATTACAGGATTAGAAAGATTCGTAGTTGTACAAAACTTGGCTAAAAGCTTGCATTGTCCTCAATGCAACTAAGGATAGACATTAAATGCTCCAGCATAACGCCAAACTAGTAGCAAAGACAATATGAAGAAGTGAGAATATTTTCGCTAAGCTAGTATGTAATGTGTTGGTGGGGAAAAAAGATTGCCATCTAAAGTAGGGCCTGGAGTTGGATAGGTGAGCTAATGAAAATTGTCAACTAAGCATTCGTGACTTATGAAGGCTACTAGTAGGAAGATGTTAGGGCTTCGGGACTAAAACCTAAGCTAGGGAAAGAGCAAGATCCGTTGCTACTAGAAACTAAAGCTTCAGCATCGATAAAACTTCAGGACCACAAATGCGCATCGCATTGACACTATTAGATAAAGCAGAGCATGTACAAGATTCAAGACGCACAACATTGACCGAAACATTCAATTTCATTTAATTTTTGATAGAGGGGGAGAATTTCACATACTAAACTAAAACAGGAAAAGAGAGAATTTAAATGACATGAATTTAAAATGCAGAAATAAAAACGAAAATAAACTAAACTATGGAAGATAAAAAGATAACAACAAGGGATAGGGGTTCATTTTAAAGGCAAAAAAGAAAAGGGACTTCCTTTTTGCAGTCAAACAAAGCTTCCTTCCCTGGGCTGGTCTTCCTTTTCAAAGCTACTGGAATGCTCTAACAAATTCTTCAGTCCGACATGAGTCGCAGCAGACGATGATGGGACCTACTTCTTTAGATGCTCTAGCGCCGCAATGATGCTGGCATCCTCTTCTTTACCTAGTTGGCAAAAGCAGTCTGGGCCTCCTCCATACGCGTTAATTGCTTCTAGATCTTAGCGAACTAGTCATCATTTCATTGATTGCTACGGTAGGTAAAGATCCACGCCTTGTAGGGTCTTGGAGCATCAGACACTCCAATGTATGCTTATCGATCACTAGCTTGTCTTTGATGAGCTCCTCATCATCGATGAGAGGAACATCGCATCACAAGCACATTTTGTGATTAAGCTGGGAAAGAACAGGTGATCAGTCTGCTTGGAAGCACATTGGGCCATCTCCATGTAAATTATTAGCCCAACATCAATGGTTCTGCCTCCAAGATGGAGGCTAACAACACAACTCTATCCTTTGTAACAGAAGAGTCATTCGTTGTAGGCATAACTCTACTATTAACAAAGTAGAGCCAAACATTAGCCTCAGCAGTGAGCTGACCAGATTTTATAGAGTTGACGCCTTTGTTAGTGACCTGCCAAGTTGCGGCTTCAAACCTTACAAGCTATAGGGCGTGGTCAAGCTCAAGGAGGGACCACTACTGCACTTGTTCGTTGAAATCAGCCTTGGGTATATTGGGGAGCTTCAAAATTTTATTGATGCACTTTGGGGACCAATCTACCTCTACGACCCGCACTATTGTGCGCCTCACTCTATTTGGATTGAAATTCGCATAGAACTTGGGAACTAACAAAAATGCTCCCACTTCATCTGCCTGGCACCGTCCTTTACAAACTACAACACGTCCTCTGGCCGGAAGCCTTTCTCCAGATATAGGTCCCGAATCTTAATCACTTGAGAATTCAACTTAGCCGCCTGGTCTACAAATCGTCAGAATGTTGCCTGGTGTTTTAGCATCATGTTGATTTTCTTCACCGTGCTTGGTGGTGCTAAGACGTACAAAACAGATGATGTTGCATTGCACCGCTTCTCCTCAGATGGGGAGGCGGTCTTAGACGATTTCTATTTAAGG